CTGATGACAACGTCCCGAGCCCCGGGAGGCAGGATTAGCCATGCCCAGTCTATCTCTGAGGAACACGGGGTACAGGGCTCACGCAAGGCCAGGAGCTACTGCGCTCGTCCCACCCTAAACCTGGCCTCTTTGTCTTACACATTGACACCCCAGGAGTCCCAAGTCCCTGCAGCAGCAGCCTCATCAAATGGGAAACACAGGCTTGGGCTGTCGGTTCGAATCCCCACTCCAGCTCCTTCTTTGCTGCGTGTTCTTTAGCAGGTCACTAAACATCTCTGAGCCGTGGATGTCTGATCTCTAAATGGCTATTGAAAAAACACACCCCTTGTGAACGCATGTGAGGAGTCTCCGAGATAATGCTCTGAGAGTTCTCAATGGCCCCAAAGACACCAAACGAATGACCCTGCTAGTAGTTCTCACGGGAGTCTGTCTTGCCTGCTGGGGCAACAGTTCTGGCCCCGAGATTTGCAGAAAGACGAGATTTTAATCAGGAATGTGTCGCCAGCTTGCCTTCGTTCCCCAAGCATCTGCCGGTAACGAACGCATTGAAGAACTGCTAAGGGAGAGAAGTATTTCGGTCCCCTGGACCCCGCACAGCCTCACCCCCCAAGGCTGCGGGAGGAGCTGTAAAAGCCGCTCCCAACGACGGAAACAGATGGCGGGTTTATTTTTACACGCACTCCCATTTGTGAGAACAGATTCGCTTCAGAAATTCCCCAAACACCCAAACTCTCCAGAATTTTCAAGAAGAAGTCTGCCTTCTGCGCCTACGAGAAGGTGTTGGGGTGTCTTCTGGGTCCCACTGAGTGTCTGGTTTCTGAGGGGGCCCTGGGGAAATACCTTCAGGATCAACTCAGAGTCAGGAGGTCTCTTTTCAGCCCCAGGGATCGAGAGACGTTTGGGTTCAGACCCCCCCCCACCCCCATCGTTACGAAAACCCTGTCTCACCTGGCAACCCCACCCCCGCCACAGGGACACAACCCCTACGGAGGGACAGACTGAAGAAAACCCGCACCAAAGGAGAAGAAACACAAGGGAGGGGGGAGGAGGGAAACAGGCCATCCTGTGGGTCCCCCTTCACCCACTCATCCCTGCCCAGATGCTGATTATGCAGCAGGTACTGTAAGACCAGCTGTGCTGGGTGCTCGCCCGTGGAGAGCCAGGCACACCGGGCCCCTGTCCCCCCGGGGCCTACAGTCTTGGGAGGGAGACAGACGGGGCAGCAGGAGCCGCTGGTGGGAATCCTGATCAATGCTGCGGGGAAGCGCAGGCAGCACAGCCATGGGAAGGGGTCTGACTCGGAGCTGCCGAGTCCGGGAGGGTCCCTGAGGATGAACAGGGCAGCCGGGAGCAGGAGGGCAGGACCAAGTCTCACACAGGACAGGGCCTGCAGGGGCAGGATGGGCCGTGGAGTCTGTCCTGAACATGCAGGCGAGGGATGAATTGGCGGTGGCACAGCTTCCTGTGGGGGATGGTGATGATGCTGCCCTAGCCTCAGTGAGGCCCAAACCACGGCACCCCTGCCCTCCTCATGATCAAGGCCCTGGTCCCAGGAAGGCGAGGCAGAGCGGGAGTGGCCCACGGCCTCAGCACGGCTAGCAGGTCCGTGGCACTGGCCTCAATGGTCTCCCTCTTTCCTTAACTGTGTTACTCCATCGTCTCCTCATTGCTTCTCTGCCCCAGGGCTGTCCCTCTGGTTCACCCTCCCCCGCCTCTAAGTGAAGTCTCCTAAAAGGAAGCAATTTCCCACCTGCTCAAAGTGCTTTTTAAAAATATATATATTTATTGATTTCAGAGAGGAAGGGAGAGGGAGAGAGAGAGAGAAACATCAATGATGAGTGAGAACCATTGATCGGCTGCCTGCTGCACACCCCACACTGGGGACTGAGCCCAAAACCTGGTGTGTGCCCTGACCTGGAATCAAACCGTGACCTCCTGGTTCATAGGTCAAGGCTCAATCACTGAGCCAGGCCGGCCGGGCTCAAAGCTCTTTGAAGGCGCAGCGTGCTCACAGCAGCACTGTGCACAACAGCCAAAGGTGCACCCTGATGTCCATCGGTGGACGATGAACAAAACGTGGTGCACGCTCAGTGGAATAGGACTCAGCCTTGGAAAGGGGTGAAATTCTGCTAGAGGCCACAGCATGGACCATGGAGGAACCTTGCAGACATGCTAAGTGAGAGAGCCAGACACCAGAAGACAAATCTTGTGTGGTCCCACCAGTAGGAGGTACCTAGCCAGGCAACGTCACAGAGAAGAAGGTGGAGGGGAGCCAGTTTCTATTAGGTACAGAGTTTCTGCTTGGGATGAGAGTTCTGGAAATGATCCATGGTGATGATTGCATAACCTTGTACATGTGCTTAGTGCCACTGAATTGCACACTTAAAAGTGGTTAAAGTGGTCAACCAGACCCAATCAAAGACGCAAACACACAACACCCTTCCATGGCGATGGCTCCCACGTGCTCTGGGTGGGCCCAAGGTGTTCAGTGCAGTCTGGCTGCTCTCTGCCTCCCAACCCCTATGCCACTGCCCAGGAGGGCCCTATCCCCTTGAGGCACTGCAGGCCTACAGATTGAAGAAGAGTCCAGCATCCCCCTGGTGCCTGGACTCTGCCGGCACAGTCCCACACAGTCCCTCTCAGACTCTTGCAATCCCACGCAGTCCCACACAGTCCCTCACAGCCCCTCAGAGTCCCACACAGTCCCTCATAGCCCCTCAGAGCCCCTCACAGTCCCTCACAGCCCCTTACCCTCAGAGTCCCTCACTGTCCCACACAGTCCCCAGACTTCCTCTCTCCTGAGAAGCATTCTCCACCACCCCCTCCTTCTCCTGCTCTTGGCTGGGGCTTCTCTCTGAGCCGCCTGAAGACCCTCTCTTAAATATCTGCTTTAACTATCTGCTCTCGCCCCACAGCAACCTCCAAGCTTCCTGAGAACCAGGGCATGGATTATTCAGCACGGAGTCTCCAGCACCTGGCACAGCACCTGCCCCTCACACCTCACAGCCCCTTACCCTCAGAGTCCCTCACTGTCCCACACAGTCCCCAGACTTCCTCTCTCCTGAGAAGCATTCTCCACCACCCCCTCCTTCTCCTGCTCTTGGCTGGGGCTTCTCTCTGAGCCGCCTGAAGACCCTCTCTTAAATATCTGCTTTAACTATCTGCTCTCGCCCCACAGCAACCTCCAAGCTTCCTGAGAACCAGGGCATGGATTATTCAGCACGGAGTCTCCAGCAACACAGTCCCCAGACTTCCTCTCTCCTGAGAAGCATTCTCCACCACCCCCTCCTTCTCCTGCTCTTGGCTGGGGCTTCTCTCTGAGCCGCCTGAAGACCCTCTCTTAAATATCTGCTTTAACTATCTGCTCTCGCCCCACAGCAACCTCCAAGCTTCCTGAGAACCAGGGCATGGATTATTCAGCACGGAGTCTCCAGCACCTGGCACAGCACCTGGCACCCCACCTGCCAACAGCTGGACACGCAGTACAATTAGAAGCTAATCAATGACAGAATAGTTTTCAGGCCTCATGGTCAACCAGGTTATTACTTCCCTCATGATTACTGTCATCATCATCAATATATCATAATCATCATTGTAGCATCACATTATCATCGTCATTACTATTATCATCATTACTATCACCATCATCACCACCATCATCATCGTCCTCACCATCATCATCATCATCACCATCATCATCAATATACCATAATCATAATTGTAGCATCACATTATCACCATCATTACTATCATCATCATCATCATCATCACCACCATCATCATTATCATCATCACCATCATAATCAATATATCATAATCATCATTGTAGCATCACATTATCATCATCATTACTATCACCATCACCACCACCATCATCATCGTCCTCACCATCATCACTACCATCATCACCATCATCATCATCATCATCACCATCATCATCAATATATCATAATCATCATTGCAGCATCACATTATCATCATCATTACTATTATCATCATCATTACTATCACCATCATCACCACCATCATCATTGTCCTCACCATCATCACTACCATCATCATCATCATCATCATCACCAATATATCAAAATCATAATTGTAGCATTACATTATCACCATCATTACTATCATCATCATCACCACCATCATCACCATCACTATCATCATCACCATCATCATCATCCCCTAGCAGGTGCTCAGACCGCCTAGCAGAATCATGAGCGCTGAGTTCTATTCTTTGCCTTCATTCCACAACCAACAGCTCGGTTGGTCAGGCCTTTGGAGCTCCGTGCCCGCCTGTGGCTGCTCACCCAGCTCCTGCCACTCCTTGAATAGCCATGTGGACAAGCCCCCGGGCCCCCTACTGTCCTCACCCCCCAGGTAAGGGAGCATCACTGAGGCGGAAGGGCTTAGAGTCACGCATCACCCAACACTGTCCCACAGTGAAATGCCACCAGGATGGAATCTCAGGGTGGAGGAGGGACAGGACGAGGGCTGCTGAAGAAACCAGACAGCTTCCGGGAGATTCGAAATTCAAACTCAGACAGGATCAGGGAAGCCGCATTGGGAAGCAGACGAGAGTTCTGTCGGTTTGATTTCTCTCCTGTTTGGGGGGTGCTGCCAGGTGTCGTTGGCATAGAGTTGGCTAAACTGTACCCCCATCATCACATGCCTCCACCAGAGGCCTTCTCATCCCACATCCCAGTCCTGTGGTGTCTGTGGACAGGGAGGGAACGCAGAGCTCAGACCAGTAAACCCTAGCGAGGCATTCGCAGGAGTAGAACACGCTGTCGGAACTATGAGCACCTGAGATGTGAGTGGCCAGCCGTCGGGGAGCCCTCAGCACCAGCTCCCGTGTGCATGAGAGACGGCCCTGAGCAGGACACACACTCAGAACACGGATACAGGGACCAAGCAATGGAAGCAGCGGGCCTCAGAGCCAGAGAGGACCCCTCACCTGACCGCACCTGCAGCCAGGTGGACACCGAGCGGCCACTCACCATCAGCACGGCTCTCCGGAAGAGTCTGGAGCCGCCAGCCCCGGTGGTGAGAAGGTGGATGCTGGCCACGTCGGCTCCGCCGCGGTCGGCTGCCATGGTCACCCGCCGAGGGTCCCCGCCAAACGCTGCGATGTGGGTCTGCACCCAGGTCAGAGCCGCCGCCTGGTCCAGCAGCCCCCAGTTGCCACTCACCGCGCTGGCCCCTTCAGAGAGAGGAGAGCCTTTTACCTTTTGTAATTTTGCAGCTGGAACTTAATTACCCTGGTGCCATCCAGGGCAGGCACCTGGTGCCTGTGGGGGACCTGACTTCTGTCCCCACAGGTTGGGACTTGGTCACTGTGAGGCCAATGGGAAGAGCATGGGCTCCAGCCTGTGGGCTCAGGAATCAGCAGTGCCCACCAATGCCAGCAACTCACCAGCACTCAGGAAGCCGAAGATGCCCACTCGGTAGCCAGCAGTGACCACGATGAGGTGGCCAGTAGCAGCCAGGAAGGAACCGTCCAGGGCGAGGCTCCCGTCGTCAGCCCCGGCCTCCATGTTGTGGAAGAACAGCAGTACGGACGCGTTGGGGGCCTGTGGGATGGGAGAGATGCGGGGCTAGAGGTTGGCCCATTTCCCCACCAGGCTCCTCTCCCATGGAGGTGCCAGATTCTGAGCCTGCACAAACTCTCCCCATCAACTCTGCCCTGTAGGCCTACGCAGCCCCATGTGATGGGTAGAAATATGTCCCCCAGAATTCACATTTTGAAGCCCTAAACACTAGACCTCAGAAGGTGACTATTTGTAGATGGGTTCTGTAAAGAGGTAATCAGCCAGCCTGGCCGGTGTGGCTCAGTGGTTGAGCATCGACCTATGAACCAGGAGGTCACAGTTTGATTCCTGGTCACAGTCAGGGCACATGCCCGGGTTGCGGGCTTGGTCCACAGTGCTGGGCTGATCAATGATTCTCATCACTGATGTTTCTATCTTTCTCTCTCCCTCTCCTTTCCTCTCTGAAATCAATAAAAAGAGGTAATTAGCCAGTGCACCCTAGTCCAATATGACTGGTGTCCTTACAAAAAGAGGACATTAGGACACATACATCCGCTGAGAGAAGACAACGTGGACACACAGAGGGGAGATGACCATCTACATGTCAAGGAGAGCAGCCTCTGAAGGAACATACCCTGGCGACAACTTGATCTTAGACTCCAGGCCTTTACAATCATAAGAAAGTAAATTTCTGTTGTTTAAGCCTCCACATTTGTGGTACTTTTATCAGAGCAACCCAAGCAAACTAATAAACCCCATTTCACAGATTAGGAAACTGAGGGTCACAAAAAATGAAGACACTTTGCCCACAGTGCAAAGTGAGCACGTGGCCCCAATGGCAGCTGGTGGCGGACTTGGAGCCATGCAGTCACCTAATACCCCAGTTCTGGCCACTAGTTTACTCCTGGAGAATGTTCTGGGTCCTTGGTGAGCCCTTTCCATGCGGCCATGCTAACTGGAACCCCCCATCTTGGTGATGCAGAGCTTAACTCAGACAGCCAGGCACTGTGTGCCCAGGGTTTTATTCATTCAGTCCTCACCCAGCTCTGTGAGGTGGCATGTCATTATTATTCCCATTTTACAGATGAGGCAGTAGAGGTTTAGAGGTGTTAGGTGGCTTGTCTAAGGTTACACAGCAGCTATAAGGCAGCAGAACTGGGCTCTGAACTTAAACTGATCCTTTTATATGAGCCTACAATGCTCCATCTGGGGGGTCTGACACCCCACCCCAGGCCAGGGGATAGGCCAGGCTCCGGGGGGCCCATGCCATCCAGGTCTTGCCTCCCTGTGCTGTGATTCTCCACTCCCTGTGCCACGGGCTCCGAAATGCAGATGGTCTCCTCACCGCCAGCAAGCCCTGTTTGGTGGCCTTGTTACAGAGTTCACTCAGACCAGCCGGCTGCCATCACACCTCCAAAGTGCAGCTGGCTCCCGTGGCTAGTGGGCTAGGGGACCAGGAAGTGGTGACATGGTCACATGTGCCAGGAGATGAGTCAATACGGGTCACCAGGAACTCATGTTTCCCGAAGTTCCTCAGTTCCTTTTTCTCTCGTGTGCTCTGACCCTTCTCCAAAACAGGAAGCTCCAAGACTGAACCTCAGGTTCAGAGCCACCACTCAGGTGAACGCGGGCTTCAAACCGGGGCATAACCAGAGTCAGGGCCAGAGCCGTGCTCCCCCTCCAGCGCGGCCTGAGACCCGCGTTTCCACGGACGGCTCCGAAGAGATGGCCGAGGGGTCTCTCCAAAGTCCTCCCAAGGAGAGAGGTCATTTTCTCATGGGCAAACTAACTTGAATGTGGGTTCCCCTTCCCCATCCTGTGCCCCCTCAACCCTTCATCGCTGGCCCTGCCCCACCTGCGCGGCTCACACCCTCCCTCCTGCACGGCCTGCTGGGAGGGCACCACCTGGCCACCACCTCACACCCCGTCACTTGCCGCTTCCTCCTGTGCTGTATTTTGCTTCCATATTTATTTGTCGTTCAGTTGTTGTTTAATATTTCGTTGCTTACTTATTTCTGCCCCTTCCCACTAAAGTATAACCCCCTCCCCAAGCAGCTGCTGGGTCTTGTTCACAGCTGTGTCTCCCCCAGGAGAGTCCCCGCCCGTCACGGGCCCCGTGTGAACAGTTCCAGAGCACGGCGCGGGGTAAGCGCGCACTGTCCCGTGTGCACGGGGCGAGAGGATGTGGCGAGGAGCAGGCGCAGCCGTGTAGGAGCTGAGGGGACGGTGCTGGAAGCTGTGGGGACTGGGGGTTCCCAATGGGCAGCTTTCAGGGCAAACCCAGCAACGGCTCAGACTCACCACATTCTGAGGGACAAACACGTTGAGATACAAGCAGTCCTCGCTGACCCCGGACGGTGTGGGCGTCCTGACCCCTGGCTGCCAGCAGCGGGCCCTGCAGATACAGACGGTCTGACTTCCAGGAGAATCAACCGCGGGGACTTGCCCGTGTCCCTTCCAGCCCCACACCAGTGGCCAGAGCCCTCTGCCCGCCAGCTCTGCAGCATTTCGGCAGCAATCAGGTCCCCGGACCACTGCATGGAGCCGAGCACGGCGGCCCTCCATCCCCAAATGGACTTCATAGGAGCAAGGCCATGTTCAGTGGCTGATGTTGGGGAGGGGTTACCTGTTAGAGCACGTAACACCACCTTATCTACACCCCCCCAGCCTCACGCCCCACTCAGGCCCACATGCGCCTCCTGCTCTCAGTCTGACGCTGATGGATTAGAAGATGAGTGCATTGCGCTCAACCCTTACCGCGGCTTGGTGGCAGCCCAGGACCCAGTCCAGTTGGAGGGCTCCGGTGCCCGGAAGCGGCCCTCCGCCAGGGGCGGGGCAGCATAGGGCACTCCCAGGAACTGGTCCACTTGCTTCCACGAAGTGCCCACCTGGATGGCCTGGGACCTGCCCAGCAGCTGGCCGTGGGGGGTGATGGTCACAAAAGGTGCAGATGTCCCAAAGCCGAGCAGAGGGGTGTCTGTAGAGGTGGGGAGTGGGGAGGAGGGGCAAGAGAGAGCAGTGGGTGCTCTATTCACGAGGAATACTCTGACATGCTTGAGAAACAAACGCTGCTTTTTGCGCTTTAAAAATGTCGGTAACTCCTTCAGACCCCCCGAGCTTACACGTAGGGAGGTCTGTGCTCAGGTGAGTAAGAGAAATAAGAGCAAAGACAGCTGGTCTTTCCCAGGCGCTCAGCAGGCAGAGCACAGCTCTAACCCTCCTCTCCCGGGGTCATCTCAGCGGCTCCTCCCAAGAGGCTAACGTGCCCACAGCCCCTTACTCAGCTCCCTGGGCCAGGCGTGCACTGCAATTCAAAACTGCGGCCTCTTTAAAGAACCGAAGGACGCAGTCAAGCAATGGGCAGTCTCCCGAGGGGGTCTGGAGCAGAGCCCGTCCTCAAACACAAGTATTTCTGCGGTAAAAAGTAGGGATGGCTCCTACTAAGAGCAATGAATAAAGAATGTCATTTCTTCAGTTACAACATCCAGTTCAGATTTTGCCACCAAATGAGTTTGCTGCAAACTTACAAAAAATGTGTGTTCTAACTTGTAGAACTTTCAGATTTCAGAACTGCAGCCAAGGACCAGGGACCATATGTGCATTTCAGTGGCGAGGGAACAGGTGTAGGACCCTGGGGTGGATGGCTGCCTGGGCTTCAAGCTGATGTGGGCTTCAAGGCCTTTCTGAACCCCAACGCTGACCACACTCCATTCACACAGGGCCAAGGGCCAGGTCAGGACTCCTCTCAGCCCAGCAAGGCCCCCCTCCCGTTGTGTATGCCTGAACCCCACCTGGTCTATTAGGTCAAGGCCGTGCCGCCTGCCAGCTGAGCTCTGCGCTCCAAGCCCCTCCATCCCTCCTTGTAATGCTAATCACCAGACACTGATCAGCCTCTCTGAAGCCCTATCTCATCTCCTCCACTCACTGGTCTTCCGTTCACTCATTGATTCAATAAACTGCCAAATGCCATTTCCAGGGACTTGAGACAGGCCTTCCGAGTCTGATTCCCCACAGGGCTTAGGACTGGGCACAAAACAAAGGACAGCTCTCTCTGTGTGAGTGTGTGTGTGTGTGTGTGTGTGTGTGTGTGTGTACAGATTATTGTTTCCGTCAGGTGTGTTTGCTTTGCTCAGCTTCACTGTGGGCTGATGGAGAGAGAAAGCTTTGCTCTTTCCCCTGCAGCTCCTTCTATTTGTAATTCAGATGTGATGGTTGCTAGGAGCCCGGGCAGGAGACAGACAGGTCTGTCTATTCCTCAAAAGCTGGCTAAAGGCAGTGGTTCCCCAGAAAGGGGTTTTGCCTCCCAGGGGACATGTGACATTTGGCTACTGGCGTCCAGTAGATGAAGGCTAAGGATCTGCTGAACAACTTACTACAGATGAGCTGAGCCCCCACAACAAAGGGTTACCCAGGGCCCAGGTGTCAGGGTGCTGGGGCTGAGAAACCCTGGGATGCTGTGTGCTCATGGCTCCAGGCACTGATGGGAGCATGGTGGTCAGCAAGGTGAGGAGGAACCGTGGGTGGGCTGGGGCTCAAGCAGGCCTGGGTTTCATGTTACGGACCAGCTACTTTGGAAAACGCCAAAATTTTTGGGACCCTCAACTTCCCACCTGAGAAACAGAAAGAATAGCAGTCCCGACACCACAAAGGTGTTAGGAATGAGTGACACCAGTGTGTAATGGCCCAAGCCCAGGGCCCGGCAAATGGCAGCTCAACACATGAATGAGTGAATGAGTGAATGAATGAATGAGAGATGGGGAGGAGGAATGGGAGGAAGGAGGGAAACCGACTGAAACCTCCTCTGCTGCGAAGACACTGGAGTGAGAGCTGGTACTCAGGATGGAGGGAAATTGTTGCTGCTTTTAATCTGGCCGCCATGGCAAGTCCTGATTGATCTCACCCCACCACGCCTTCTCCCAGCATTTCCTGTCTCCCTTGTCAATCACAGGGCCTTGGGCACGCATGCAAGGCTGTGGGCACTAAAGTGGCAGAACCTCTGAGGCCGGTTCCTTCCCTCTGCAGGAAACAGCCACATTTCACGAACGTGGCATCATCCGAAGGGGGAGCAAAGACAAGAAATACCAAGGCGAAGAATTTCCAGGGAATGCGAGGCGGCTTTCCCACGGGCAGTGGAATTCCACCCCCCCTCTCAGAGGCTGCCCGAGAGCCCAGGCTGGACGAGGGCCAACGTGGGGGAGACATTGGATGTGCTACTGCCTTCTGAACCCTTTTGCAGAAACGGTGGATTCCTTCCAGCGTATCCACGTATGTAGGCCATGCAGCTATTCCTTCACTACTTGAGTGAAGAAAATTACTGCAGCTCTACAGGTGCCTCAGGTACACACTGACCATGCCTGTCAGACGCATGTGGGCATCCTCTCCCGCCAGAGGGAGAATTTCGCGTGGAATTGGAGCCCCGTGCAATGTCAGTGGTGCTGGGGTGAACAGGGACAGAATCTGATTGAATTTACAGAGCCCAGACTCGGAGTCAAGGCATTTCTCAGCGGGACTGCCACGCAGATTAGCTACAATGTGGGCACGATGTACTATTGAAATCCAACCTGACTAAATCGTAGAAATGTCCAGACAGAGGAAAGACTGGAGATTGAGGGCCTGGGACCTCAGTATTCCCGGGCCTGGGGGGCACTCTCCTTGGCTGAAGGCTGAGGTGGAGGAGGGAAGGAGAATCATCACTGGGTCAAGACAGTCCTGAAGAACCATCCATGTTCTAGGTTGGGGTGGGGCCAAATCCAACCGCTACCAGTTTTATAAATAAAGCTTTATTGGCACACAGCCACGCCCATGGAATTCCCGATTGTATTGTCTGTGGCTGCTTTCCTGCTACAGTGGCAGAGCTGAGTAATTGTAAGCGAGACAATAAATACAGTGGCTGAAGCCCCGCCACGTGGCTCAGTGGTTGAGCATCCACCTATGAACCAGGAAGTCCCTGTTCGATTCCCGATCAGGCACAGGCCCAGGTGGCGGGCTCAACCCCCAGTGTGGGGTGTGCAGGAGGCAGCAGGTCAATGACTCTTTCTTTCATCATTGATGTTTCTCTCTCTCCTTCCCCCTCTCCTTCCTCTCTGAAATCAATAAAAATATATTACAAAAAATACTGTGGCTGTAGAGCCTGCAATATGTATTATCTGGCCGTTAGCAGAAGTGGGTTGACCTCGGCCCTTGAGGATAAGATGGCAGACATAGCCAACATTCCTAAAAAGCTATTCATTTCATCCAAGAAGCATGTCTCATTGGGTAGGTGCATCCCCTGGATGCCCAGCCCCGGGTATCCTATTACACAGCTCTTCCCAACTTCACTTAGTGACGGATTTGTTTACATGTTGCTATCCCCCTGCCTGCTTCACCCCTGTGTCCCCAGCACCTAGCAGTGTCTGACACATAACGGCACTGTGTTGATTGTTTTTAAACTGAACTGAGCCGGGAGCCGCTGCCCTTTCTCACTGTGAGGCACGTGGTTTGCGGGAGAGGACTGCATCTAGAGGCTGGAGACCCGTTTCTCAGGTGACTGTGAGGCGGTCCGTAGGCGGCGGCGTTTGCGGGAGAGGACTGCATCTAGAGGCTGGAGACCCGGCTCCGCGTCCTCTTCTGCCATCCCTCTCTGTGTGACATCAGAGGAGTGACTTAACGTGTCTGGGCCAGAGTCTCCTGATCTCTAAGGTGGGATGAAACCCTTATCTCACCACCTGCCAGGATTGGTGTGAGGACCCAGTGAGATGGGGCCGGTGAGAGGCCTTCCTGAACTACAAAGCAGTAACACAAGGCGGCCCATCTGATTATTTTACTAAGAAACTCAAAGGCCAATGGCTTCTGTAGCTCAAAGGGATGAATGAGCAAGGGTGGTGCAGAGAAGACCTATGTTAGAAGGGGGTTCCACCTTCCTCAGTCCATCCCGGGTGAGAGCCACCTAGCTTTTTCATAAGAGTCTTAAAGTCACTGCCCGCCAATGACAATGTGCTTGGACAGTCCACCTCAGCCATACCAGGCTCCCAGGAACGGCCCCACAGGCACAGGCCTGGACTTACTCAGCTTCCGGTAGATGTGGGTGGGCTCTTCTCGCAACAGAAGCTGGCAGTGCTGGGCCTGCAGGCTGTGTGTGCAGATCTGGGTATCAGGGTAGAACACACACCTCAGAGCACCAGGGCGGGTCTGCAGAGTGGTGACCTGGCAGGCTTGGTGACGGGAACACTCTGAGGAGTAGAGGGAGAAGGGTGAGGCTTGGGCCTCAGGGATGCCATGCAATCATGTATTCATGCATTCGTCCATCCCTGCATCTGTGCAACCATTCATCCATGCATCCATCCATTCTGTATCCATTTAACTATGCCTCCATCCTTCCTGTTTCTATCCAGCTCTGCATCCATCTACCCATGCATCTATCCATACATACACTCATTCATCCATCCATGCATAAATGCATTCATCCATCCAAAACACATCCATTCATCCATCTATCCATGCAAAAATGCATTCATCCATTCATCTACCCATAAATACATCCATCTATCCATTCATTAATCTATCCATGCATCATTGTACCCATATATCCATTAACCCATCTATCCATGCATTTCGTCCACCCATCCATCCACCCACATATGCAATACATCCATCACTCATTGCCACCGCTCGCTCACTCATTTGAGCAATTACTATACATCCTCAGCACTGCTACAGGGGGCGGGAACGAAATGCTGGTAGGGGGGAACCCAACTCTCCCATCCATCTACCTTCCTCACAACATCAGCTTTTGGGTTATTTATTCACAAACATGCTCTTGTCATTCACCTATTTAAGATATTCCATGGCTCTCCACTGGCCTCAGGATTAAATTTTACCAAATAAGGTTCTCTATACCCCAGCCTTTGCCTCCTTCTTCAGCCCCGCCTGCCTCCCCTCCCCACCACCCCACCATGTTTCACTAGGGGTTCTGTCACCTCCCAGGTGTGCCGCTTCCTATAGCAGACACTTCCCATTATGCCGGGCATTTTGGTCCTAAGGACGGCTCTGAAGAGAGGGCTGCACTGTTCGCTTGGGCAGCTGTGCGCGGCCTAAGGCCTATTTATACCAGGTCTCCGGGCCGAGGCGCCCCCCGGAGTTGTGCAGTGAGCAACCTGCACCTCTGCGCATGCAGCCCTGTCTGTAAGATGTGCACATCGCCAGCCAACCTTGTGGGCAGAGGAGGCTCATGGACTTTCAGAACTGGAGGAGTGTGAGCATTACCCAATCGCAGGCTCTTAAAGGAGCTAGTCTCTATAGAACACACCTATCGAGTGGTCACCTTGCTTATACCTCTGATGGCAGGGGCAGAAATAGAATGGTGGGGGCCAGCTAGAACTGTAAGGAATGTTACTCCTGCTCCGTTCACCGTGACTGTTTTCTTCTGATTACAGAAGGCGCATCCTAACCTGGCTGGGAGTTACACACACAGGATCTGGGCGCTCAGCCGGAAGTTCGGCCCACCCTCCCCATCGGGAGCTGCCTGTGATCACAGACAGATTAACAACCTTGTTGCAGAAACCAGAGCTCCAGCCCTTTGAGGACCCCCAGGCCTCTGCTTACCTGTTAACTGCCCATTTGGCACGCCCTTTGACTACTTCCCCATGTAACCTTTGTCTTTCTACACGACATAAGCAGCTGGCTTGTGGGGGCGCAGAGCAGATTTCTATGGATGACCCGCTGCTCTCCCACGCTGCCGGCAGGACTCTTCTACGCAATATAAACAGCTGGCTTAGGGGGGCGCAGAGCAGATTTCTGTGGATGACCCGCTGCTCTCCCACGCTGCCGGCAGGGTGGAATAAATGCTCCTATATGATTCAACCCTGTCCCTGCCGAATTTGCACTGAAAACTGTCTCTTGACATTTGAGTTTTAAGCATAGTCTTAGTTTTGCCCCATGAGCTTGGCTAGAATAAGTATATCTCCTCCTCAGCATGATGGCCCCACAGCTTCCGCTCGCCTCCTCCGCCCAGACTAGCCCCTAGGTCATCCCTCTGGTCCTCCTCCGACCTGGCTCAATGCCACTCACGTTCTGTGTGGCATATCCCACAGCGACCTTGATTGTGGGCTGACCACAGAGGAATGAGCACCCTGCAGAGGGGAGCCCACCCAGATATATTTCCTCCTCAGCATGATGGCCCCGCTCTCCTCAGGATAGCGGTCACAGCTTCCGCTCGCCTCCTCTGCCCCAGGCTAGCCCCTAGGTCAGGGGTGGGCAAACTTTTTGACTCGAGGGCCACAATGGGTTCTTAAACTGGACCGGAGGGCCGGAACAAAAGCATGGATGGAGTGTTTGTGTGAACTAATATAAATTCAAAGTAAACACCATTACATAAAAGGGT